CAATAAATCTCAAACTGATGGAGCAAAAACAGCCGAATATCATCAAACGAGAGCTTTTCTTCTGGCCCTTTTGTTAGTTTTGGAGCTTTTTTCCTTCCTAACAATCTTTTCAGCCCGTTTGTATTTCAGCATCAACGATCAGGGAATGGAGAACTTTAGCTCCACCCGAGGGCACCAGATGTCTTCTGCTAAATAATCAATTAAAGTAAAGAGGACACACAAATAAGAAGCAGGTGGACTCACAAAGTCAGCAGGACTCAGAAAGTTCCTGGACAAATGGGGACTGCCACATTGCGGCCATTTTGAAATGTGGATTTGACAGCACGATGTGTTGGGGTTCGCTCTCAGCTACCACCTCACCAATTTCAGCTCAATATGGTGAAAAAAATCTACGAGTTATACACATTTTTTCTTTTAAGCTATGACACCATCTTGAACTTTTGATCATAATTATTTTTTCATCTTAATATCTGTAAAAATGGCTGATTTATAGTATTTTCCGTTTTCCTCCCAGGCAGCCATTTTGGATTTTTGATTCATAACCAGAGTATATTCGGGATTGCTCTCAGCTACTAGTAAACCAAATTTCAGCTGATATCTCTAAAAACCTCTGACTTATATCTGTTTGAAATTAGCTTTGGTGGCCATCTTGCATTTTTAGATTTGAATCCAGAATGTGCTGAACATCATCATCAGGTACCACCACACCAAGTTTCAGCTCAATATCTTTTCAAGTAGCTAAGTTATGGTAATATTACCCTTTTAGTTAAGGTGGCCATTTTGGATTTTAAATTTGCATCAAGAATGTAAAACAACTCGCTCTCAGCTACCAGCAAACCAAATTTCAGCTCAATATCTCAAAGAACGACTGAGTTGTAGTCAATTTAGAGTTTTCTGAGGTAGCTGTGGCAGCCATCTTGAACCAAAATGGCTCCAAATGTTAATCAGAGTTTTGTTCAGACCTCTTCACTCCAGGTCATGTGACCTCACTGTGTCTGTTAGAGGCTGTGAAGAGTTCTGTCAGTGTTTTTCAATGAGACAAATGGCGTCTTTGTTTGCAGATGGAGTTGCCATGGTAACTGCAAACGCCAGTAAAAGTAACAGCACACATCACGGTGCCGAGCCGGATGTTTTCATGTAACATTTGTTGGGGGGGGCACACACGTTGTGATTCAGGCCACATTAATGTTGACGGAAGAGTAAGATATAAGGTTAAGAAACCCTTGTCAGGTGGATAATAAGAGGGTGCTGCCAACAGCTAAAAGAGTTCCCTTGGACTGATTTGACAGAAACGAGGCAGGAGGAAACAACACGGACATCCAAACATCAGCTTTAAAAACATCACTTTTCCTTTGATGTTCCCACAGAGAGGAGAATCCGAGCTCCATGATTGGCTGTTCTCCTGTTGATGCACGTCCCGTCGGATTGGTCCGTCGGCGGAGTGATGCAGGCGTGACTCATCTTCTATTCTGAGCCGAATAAAGAAGGAGACGACACGGGGTCCTGACCTTTTGTCTCCGTGGTGACCGCTGTGATGTCATCACCTCCGCTCCATCAACATCCTCCTCTGATGCGACCAGGTTTGAAGATGAGCAGAGGAAATAAATAAAAATAAAGTTGTCTTTGACGGGCCCTCTGCTCACCGCACGGCTGACCCTGCGAGCAGCGTTAACTGCTGAATACCTGCTCGAACTTTGACCTTTAATCTGTTCAGAGGCTTTGAGGAAAGTCTAGCTGCAACTTTAGATGTTGTCTTTTTCCTGCGGCGTGTTTGTGTGTGCAGGCCTCAAAGGGCCTGCAGGCTGGAGTGGCTGATGCTGAACAAAGTGGCGAGCACACCTCCCACTTCCTGTAAGGCCTTAACGAACAGCTGGAGCGTCTTCGATTAAAACAACGAGGAGGCCGCGGTCACAGCCTGGCGTGTCTCCCTCTCAGATTGGAGAGTTCAGCGGTTCAAAGAAAGGCCTTCAGGGAGGCGTCATGGAGGCCAGGGTTCGGTTACATCATCAGCAGCAGCTGTATGACTCTCACGCCGGCTCGTGAGCTTCGGCTGAGCTCCTGTAGAAAATACGTGTTGAGATGATCGAGCAGGTCTCCAGAGAGCCGCTCTGGATCCCTGACCGGCAGTTTCTGGAGAACCATCTGCCAAAGCAGCTCAGGTTTGATTTACAGGAGGTTCTTCAGGAGATCCTCTACAAACAGAGCCAAAGTGTGTTTTCAGACCGAGCAGCTGGATTCTGCTGCTCTCTGCTGGAGGACCCGTCACCTCACTGACAACTAGTGATGTCACTTCCTGTGACACTTAAACAGAAAAAAAAAAAGGCTAAAATTATTAGGAAAATACCTAAAAGGTAGCCGAAGTGGCAGAGAAAAAGAAGAATTTAGCAGAAAAAAGCTGAGGAGCATCAAAAGCTAGATGTAACAAAAACAAAGCAAAAGAATAAAAATGCTTGAGATGAAAGAAGCAAACAAACAAAAAATAGCAAAAAGGAGGAAAAAAGGCTGGAAAAAGTTTAAATAATCAGAAAGAAACTGAAGCAGAACAACAGCTGAAATGAGCAGTAACAACTAATAAACTAAAGGGTTTGAAGGAGGTGAAGAGAGCTAAATCAATTTTCAATGACAAAAACAGATTAGAGCTCTAACAATAGATCATTAAAGCCAAAACAATAGATCATTAAAGTTATAACAATAGATCATTAGAGC